CGTTAACCTGGTTGCCCGGACACTCCGGCACACAGGAAACGAAACGGCCCACATGCTGGTGGTACGCGGTCTTCATCTCCGTACCACTGGCAGAATGGGCCTCCCCACGACACATGGGGACCATAACTACAGCGCCTCGACAAACACAATGGGGCCTGCAGATTATGGTGAAATCCTCGAGAGACTCCGGCTACGAAGACAGACGTTGGCAGCTCCACACAAGAAGCTCAGCCGACTCCAAGAAAGTGCCTGGAGAAGACTCCAACTTCGAAACAACACCACTCCCCACATACTAAAGAGGTCCTGGCCAGACCTCTTTAGTGGCAAGTGTGAAGACTGCGGCAACCAGGAAGAAGGAACCTGGCGGCACGTGTACTGCCCTAGCAAAAATTCCAATATAGATTTTTATATGACCATTACAAATTTCTATGTGACCAATAGATATTTATAATGGACCGATAAATATTTATAATGGACCCATAGAAATTTATAATGGACCGATACAGCATTTTGTTGGACCAGTAGATAATTCTATTTGCACAATATAAACGTTTATTGGTCATATTGAGATTTTTAGTGGTCCAATAGATATGGTTATCGGTCCTATAGAGACTTCTGTTGGACCGTTAGAAAATTCTATCAGTCAAACTGAAAGCTCTGTTGGTCCAATAGAAACTTCTGTACCGTAAACTTTTCTACGGACAGGCAATTTTTAGAATAATTAATTATAGTAAGAATTATCCTGTTATAAATGTAAATCTAAGAAATTCTCTTGAGTGAGCGTGTTCCTTTTTTCTCTTTGCCACCTATACATCACTCCCCGTCTCGTCAGTTTTGCGTCGTCATTGGCGTCGAGATTAAAGCCATCTGTTTGTCCTACAAGTAGCGCCAAATGCGCGACTGCACGAGGTCCGTATACCACGGCTTTTGGAAGGAAATGACGGCGCAGCCTTGAAACAGCAACCTAAGCGAATGGCGGCGGAGTGCGCTACGTCACGGCCAGGATTTGCCCCACCGTGACGTCTTGGGTAGTCCTGATACTTATCAGTTGCGAACGACAAGGTTAATGCTGGTTATAAAAAGCACAGTGGAATCGTGGAATCGCCTCATTCTTAAACCGACACCATCAGTCAACAGCCTGGCATCCCTCTTTCGCGCCAATGAAAGAAAAAGTGCTTCAACTAAAGACGTCATAGCTGACGTTTGGCCATTCGTGAAATGTCGACTGCTATGACGCTTTTGATCACCTCCCATCGCCCGTAAAACTTCTCGATCAAGACCGAAAAGTAGTATGACGTCTTGACCAACAGCAAGAATATAATCGGTCTGTTCGATTCGGCCAGAAAGTTCTGAACTAGTTCTGTCCGAGTTCAGAGGAGTGCAGGAGTCGTGCAGCGGCGGCGCAGAACCAGTGCAGCCGCCGCGCTAGGACTGGCGCTGTGATCGGCTTTCCGATAGAGTGCCTACATACACACGCGCACTCTTGCTTGAGTGGTGACATCTCAGCCATTTTTCCGCCCAGTCGTTTCTTTATGCATCTTTAAGTGCGCGCAATCCGGTGACACTCAGCTCGAGCGCTTAGCTTTGGCAAATGCATAGACGCCATTTTACCGCCCAAGTCACGCACCGAGTGCGCGAGAGCGTCACGCACTGGCATATTCAGGGCAACAAGGGATGTCTCCACCCTGAGACAGACAGACATGTAGGCACCCTACTTTCCGAGCGGAAGCGCTGCATGGGTGTCGTCTGCATCTGTTGGCTCTTGTTTCTCCTCGCCACGTTGGATGCGACCTTTATTGAGTCGCGGTTTGATGAGACCATTCGTGTTTCCTTAGTTTTAAAGTATAGTAACGGAATCTTCCCTGTGAATATTTTTTTATTCGCAGCTACTAAAAACGTTTTCTGCACGAGATGTGTTTCTGTCTGCATTTTTAACGGCTTTTCAGATCATCTCGTTTCCATAAGCGCTCGTGTCCTTCACATTCATTTAGCAACAGTAGATTCATTCCGAGTCTCCCGAGTTTCGCATTTCGACGATAGGGTCGCGGCATCAGGATGATTTTGCGTCGGGAGTCACTGGCGACAGCGCGCGGTCGATAGCGGTCACCTCGAAGACGAAGGCCTGACGATAGCGTTTTGGCCAATACAGTTATCAACCGTAACTTTGGCGTCAAGCTGAAGCGTTTATGCTGATTCTCAAGAAAGACCTGCATGGAACTACCAAGCCAATGCCGATTCTCGGCGCCGTTTTTCCCAGGCCCGTTAGTGGGCGTCCAGATATCAGCGGACAAAGCATGCGGTATTATGCTCAGCTGCGGGGCATGCGAGGGCCAATATACTAAATTCCAGACCTCTACAATGTATCGGAGTCGTCAGAATGCACCCAAGAGCAACTGAAGGCGGAGCCTATCAAGAGGGCACTACCTTTCCCGTGTTGCTAAGAAAGAATATCAACACTGGGGATCCCCACATAGCATCAAAAAGAAACAATTTACGTGAGCCAGTATTTCAACACTTACCACAGGGAGCTAAACCTACACGAGCAGGTGCCTAAAACGCTTTCAGAATATCATAATCAATCAAATTCCTACCCCCAGTTATAATATCAATTCCGCGTCCACCGCGGGTACGTTATTGTCATAAATGAGATGAAATGCAACGTCCGTATCGGCGTTATTGTTAAACATCGCAGACATTTGAGCAAGAGCTGCGAAAAATGGCACCGCGAGCAGAGACGGACGAGGAGTGTCGTCTGCTATCGCCCTCTGCTCCTTTCGTCTGCTTCTGCACGGACGCTGAACTGACTCTGGAGCCGGTGCAAGATTTTGAGGAACTGGGTCTGAACTCGTTCAGAACTGGGATGAATCGAACGCGCCAGTGCAGCGGCCGTGCAACTTCCGGTTGAATCGAATGCACCAGTTCCTGCACTGCTGAACTAGTTCAGCCAGTTCAGGCGAATCGAACAGACCTATTATCACAGCATCCGCTGAGGGACGAAATGAAAATGATAATATTCAAATCGGAGCTCTCTGAAAATATTGGTGCATTTTGCCTGAAACAGTCGCAAAAGATTGGAAAACCTGCGATTTTAATAACTTTTAACCAAGTCGAGAAACACGAAAACAGCTTTTCACCGTACACGAACACTCGTATGTCTTATGGCGAATTCGGGTGGTCAATCGCCGGCGAGCTCACGCCGGCGGCACAGGCAACGAAAACCGCGCCAGCGGCGCACCACGTGACCCTCTCCACCCGAACACAACGCGCCTGCAACTGGCGTTTTCGTCTGCCTGGGTCGCTCGTTAACAACTTCGTTAACTTCTTCCACGATTATTTTATGATACAATAGGCACGCTCTAGGCATCAGCAACATATATTCGGACTCTGAGATGTGGGTAAACAAATTGTAATATATTTTGTTTAGATTCTCGAGGAACTGTTGCCATCTTACAAGGATCCCAGAAGGCTCACCAGCGTCGCCATTTTATATTCCATTTTCTTGTTATTACCTTTTTGCTGGAATCCTCAGCATTTTGATTTGACCCAGCCCTCTAAAATAGTAATGCGCGTTCAAGTGTCGAGCTGCAGCACTATCAATACATTTTTTACAGCGGTGTAATAACACGCTGTGTCCCATAGGAAACTGATCTTGCGGAAGCTTCCTTTAAAATATTTTATCTTTATCTCCGTTGTTTTTGCTGTCTTTCTCGGACCGCAGAGGGGTGTCTTTCTCAGTGGCTTCGTTTTCTACTAGAACACGCTCTCGGCGACCATTGTTTCGTTTGGTTCCATTTCCCGATTCGGATATGACGATACCGGATACAGTCTGGCAGACAAGGTGCCCGACCTCTTGGAGCTCGGGCAAAACTTGTGCCGGTAAATTGCCAGCACACGCCTGAGAACTGCCACCCGAACGGCGCGCACTCGCCAGCCTTTGACCACCCGAATGCCCTTGGCGGAGATATGGCAAAATATTTTGCCGGGAAATGACCACGCGAATTCGCCATTAAATACACAGATGCGCCATTACCCACGTGGTGGCTCATTCAGATGTGAGCACGATACTTTCATCCAACTAGCCCAGCTTTCAGCCACTTTCATCCAACCCTCGCCTATAGAGTGCTTTCTATCCTCGTGCTCGGTGCCTTCAGATTATAATCTCAAACCTTTACCAAAAGTGTATTTTTATGGAGCACTTTCCCTTGCAAAATTTCAAGGCGCTCAATTCCTGTAAAAAATTTGACCTACGCCCTCGCCGTTATCAACGGAGGATGATTACGCAAAAGGCCCAGCGCGCCCATCGTTTCCCTGGATGGATACCCACTGACCCCGGCTTTGAATCTTTATATAGTGCGGAGCTGCCGACCCATTGCAGTTTGGCTCGGCATCTGGATGCGCTGGTGTGCTTGGTGACAATAATTGGACAACTCGGATACCGCTTGCCCGCCGGAACTTCCCGATGCACTCAACACTGGATACGGTGCTTGTGCGTGCTGTGTGTGTGTTCCGTGCACTGTGTTTAATGACGACGCGACGACGCCTGGACGACCGTGTGCGCCGCCATAATTACGGCTGCGCTCACCACTGGACTCTACAGAAGTCTTTCGTGCGATGCCCTTAGCCGTCACAAGCAAGAGATCGTCGCGATTTCAGACCCAGTTCGCCTGGGTCTGAAATCGCCACGTTCTCTTGGTTGTAACGGCTAAGGGCATAACACGAAATTCTTTTGTGGAGTCCAGTGGTGAGCGCAGCGGGAATTCCGGCGGTGCACCGCCTGGGTTTAAAATTAGGGCTGGAAATGCGCGGTTCCAGGCTGGATATAAACTGGTGCCCCAATTTTGGGTCTAGGCGGAACCGGCATTTTCCATTCCGGCCTGAATCTGACATTTTCGTACGGGACAGCTCTGAAAACGAAGATGACGACGCACGAAGGCGCCTATTGGAATGACCCTTAGCCACATACGTATGCAGTTGCTTAGAGTGAGCTCAGTGGTGTCTCGCGCATGCCACAGTACTTTATTTTACCAGGAGATGAACTGCTGGTCCACCGCCCTCATGTGCGGCGGAGCTTCGCTCGTTGTGGGCAGAGCCTCTTCCCTTGATCTTACGTTGCAAGAGACCGTAAGAGCTAGTTCAAGACGAAGGCGCTAGTCGGAGAGAACCCTGCAGCGTTTTGGAGAATGACGACGGAGTCTTGCTGGTCGTTGGAGCGGGTGCCGTGGCCTTCTTCGTTGTGAGCCGGTACTTCCTCTTCATGTCCCTCTGGAAGACGACGAAGCGCTTCCGGTTCAGGTCGTTCTGGCGCTCCTTCCAGACGCCTATGCTGCGCTTGTTCTGCATGCCGCGATGCACGGCGAAGGCTTCGTCCAGCACCCGGAACTCGAACCCGGCCAGGTGGGTCTCGTACACCTGGCCATACATGAAACTCTTTTTTTTTTCATCGCATACAATATGATTAATGCTGACCGAGGAACGCACGATACTTGTGTGCAAGCACAGAATGTTTTGCCGTGTACAGTTCTAAACAAACGCCCTCCCGCGGTGGAGAGATAGAGGAAAAATATAGGTGGGCGATCTCTTGGGAGTGGGCGTTCATTCGGTATTTTACGGGCACGGGTTCCCCTTCCTGACCTTACGGAAGAAAGACTAACGACGATGCTCATGAACCCTTGTTAGTTTGTATAAAATGGTGCTGGCTGTCGTACTGTGCTAAGCACCAACAGCTAGCAACTTGCAGCAGTTAAAGGATATGCAAACGAAAAATTCACGTCGTACCCCTCCTCTCAGCCTTTCTTTGTCTGGCTGCACGACGCCATTTTTGAGTAAAAGCGGCAGCGAGGAGTAGCATTTCGAACAATGAATCGCGTAACGTTTATATAGTATATCTACAGGCACTTTAGCAGCAACCACAATTCGTCAAACAACAACATCGATGGTATAAAGGAATGCCGCGAGGCATTCTTTTGCGTGCGCTTATTCTATTTGCAACTCTATCGGCAAGCATTTAATCCCCTTTGCTCCGTGTCACATTTCGGCCACTTGGCCGCGCAAATTTAAGCTGTCCACTTGGGTATGCAGCTCCCCGCCTCTCTTTCGCGTCTTCTCCGCTGGGTGGCGTCGCCCCCTGTAGAGTTGCGAATAGGCAGGCAACGCTTTCAGGTGTAATCAACAGATATCGCCAGTATTCCTGCCAGTCAGTGGACGCTCACTTGACATTACCCATCTGTACAACGACTATACTAGAGTTAGAGACAGTGGGGTACCAACCTGTTTTTGAGAGGGCGAGCACACCAGCCCCCCCCCCCCCCCCTCCCCCGGCCAGGGCGGGGGGTGGTACCCTTGGTATCCCTTGGGCAACACCGGCCAGCGTTTGCCCTGCCCAGTGGCGGCTGTTTCAGGGGGAAGGGCAAAACACATGCTTGCCCCTCTCCACTCGGTGAACTGGGGGGGGGGGGGGGGAAGGGGGCAGGCGCTCCCCTTGCCCCCCCCCCCCCCCCTCCCCGGATGGTATGCCCATGGTTAGAGAGATGGTTTTCGAAATAATTGATGCCTGAAATATCCGTGGGAGTCGGGATGACCATGCAAACGTATGAACGGATGGAGAGATGGTCACTCTATAATATAAGCTGCGTTTAAGTATCGATACGCCAACTGGTTGCCGCCATTTTGGTGCTTAGGTTTCAATTTAAAAATGAACCTTCCTGAGCATTAGGTATTCGGTGTCAGGAACCTCAGGCGTTGTCATTTTCTCCGTCGAGGCCTGCTTTAACATTGCTGGGGGACATTAAAGCGCTTCCTGCGATTTCAGATAAAGCTTCAGATAACTGGCAACAATAATTTCAAGCAAGAAGATGGCGAAAGTGCCATTCCTCTGAACCAATTAGTGGCTCGAGGTTACTCCATTGATCGGTCAGCAGAAGGTGAAATCAACACATGAAGGGGCGGGTTGTTTGATGAACTGCGCGGTGGATAAACGGTGGACGAATATATATGGATGCCTGACAAACTGCATGATCTGAGGTCATTTGTCATCCAAGCGCTCGAGCGGAGGCGTGCACTGGAGTGATGGATGAACAAGCGCAATAAACTATGGTTGGTGACAGATTAAAAGTTAAGTGGAAGCTCCTCCCACTTCTTTCCGCTTTAACAGAGCGAACGCTGTAGAGGCGACCTCCTCTCCAGCGTTCGCTCTGCTAAAGTGAGAAGAGGTGGGAGGAGCTTCCACTTCACTCTTTACCTGTCACCAACTATAAGCCCGTATAAATGACTGATGACACAGGATAAATGAATGAATGGGCTCACCTGCATGCACCGACGAACAGAGGAAACGATACACTGGGTCAGGGAATTCAGCCGAACACTCCGGCTGTGACCCTCAATCGATTCGGTGCATAAAGTTCACCACAATAAATAAATGCATGAATATGAACCAAGTTAGTAACTCCGTAATTTAATTTTCATCAACAAAAATATGAGTAAGTGTGTTTCAGGGTGCATGCAGGAGACCACGTGACAATTAAGAATATGTGAGTTTATGTGCCGAACCAACGGGGAGCATCAGGGGTATATTACAATAGAAACTTTTAGTAAATCGCCCTTATAAGTTCGATAACGGTACCCGATATTCCGCCGAAGCCTTTGCACATGCATCGTTTCGCTATCAGGTGCCGTTATTGGTGCTGTCGGAGCGACCTACTAAAGCTCCCCAATGGCACTCAGCAACAGGTGGACAGAGGGAAGTGTAAATTCACTTGAAGACGTCCTCGGAGTTTATATCTTACTTCTGACCACGTATGACTGCTGTCATCTGCCATCTTGGCATTACAATCTGTGGCTTAAAGGACCGGTGCAACGATATTCAATTGGAATGTTTTTCACTCTACACGAGCTTACTGGCACACCTGGGACTCAAGGATACCCACACGCAACGCCACTGGCCAAGAAACTTCTTTGTTGCGGTGTAATTTCAAGGACAAAAGCGATCATTTTCATTCAATCTCTCCTTTGGAAAATTTGGTGACGTAACGTGGGGACCGTAGTACACCCAAGTGACGATATTTGAATGCGGTTCATAGATTGGACCCGAGCATTGCGTGGGCACTCGACTTGGGCTCGTGACAATTGCTAGCTCGAGAAGCATTCGGGTAGTGACCCGTGTCCAATCGCTGCAACGACGACAACAGCCGAGCCATAACAATGTCTGGAACTCAGCGCGTGTCCTGCGCTTTGCCAACACCAGCGCGTGGCTATGATCAACACTGGCGGCATATAATCGGCTCCAGATCACGTGGCCGCTTGTTCTGGCTGTGAGTTGAGGGGGTGAACGCTGCTCGTTTTTCTTAAATATTTTTCTGGGGCTTCTATTGCGATGGGTGAAGAACGAACGCGTGTTTCATAGGTCATTAACGTTAGGGACCCGTTTTAAGCGGTATTTGCGCAAAGTACAAAAATTGTTGCATCGCTCCTTTAATGAGAACTCAAAACGTCCATCCGGAACATTCAGGAAAAATCAATAATACAAAAAAAAAGGAAAAAAAAAAGAAAAAAGTGTAAGCATGCGATTCCTAACAAACTGACCTGAGTGTTCCTGGTGAACCCGTAGCCGACGAACCTCTCGTCATAGCGAGGCACGTCTTTGGCAGCCACATAGAAAGGTTCGTAGAAGAACTCGTACCTCTTCACGCTGTACGCGGCACGGAGTCCGTCGCCGTGCTGCTTCAGGCCTTCCCATATGCCGTGGTTCGTGGCGTATTGGTTGGGGATGAAGGACTTCTGGTGGAAAGGCCTCGCCTCCTTCCGCCGGACAAGGTGCAAAAGCTCCCGTTTCGTCCTGGGTACCGGCGCAGTATCCGACATCTCGTAAGTGGGCACCACAAACACGCACTTTGTACACGGAAGGGTCCGCCCGAAGAAGTGGGACAGTTCCTCCCAGAGTCCCGGCTTCGGCATGATGTCGATGTCCGTGAGAAAGAAATACCTCTGGGCGCAGCCGTCCCTGGCCACGTTCCGGAGATGGTTCTGAGGGTAGAGCATCGGTTTCGCACTTCCCTTGACAACTTTCGTCTTGCCGACGTTCTGTAGAGCCTTCAGGAGAACTGCGTGGGTGCCGCAAGAAAAATCGGAGCCGAGTTCGTCCGACCACACGGTCTTCCTGGTAAGGTTCTCGTCAGCCGGATACACCAGATCCACTCGCATGTTGGTCTTGATGGCTTCCGAACAGAAACGAATGAGGGAAAGGTACAGCTTGACGGCTTGGAACTGCGTCGAGTTGGCTACGAAGACCGCCAGCGACACCGGCCCGTTCCAGAGCTGGACAAGGTCGACGAGCCAGGAGAGGCGGTCTAGGGAGCCCTGCGTCGCGAGACAGACGTTTCCACCACAGTCTTGAGGTGCTAGTTTCGCTTGGGGCGACAGGAGCCTACGAGCAATCTTGTACTTGCGGCTGGCATCAAGCGACTGCTTGTCGACGTCGAACTTGAAGGGTGCCCTGCTGGCTAGGACGTCTAGGATGTGGACGCGGTCTTCGGTTGCACCCAAGAGGACGTCGCCCGATTGTCCGTACCTCCAGCGGTGGTTTGGTGCGGTCGTTTGGTTCGGGTGCTTGCCCGACGGACTGTTCTGCGCCGAGTGTTCTAGGCGGTTGAAGATCAGGAGGCCGAAGAGGTTGCAGGTGAACAGGACGCCGATGACGAGGAAGACCGGAGTTCGCCTCAGGACGTTTCGGCCTCCCAGTTGATGTGGCATTGGCATCATTGGCTACGAAACCTGGCCATAAAGATGACAACGAAATACAACATCATGAAGTGGAAGTGACCTGCCTGATCTTCACACGATGTGTAGTTTCCTGTTCTTAACGTGATGTGGAAGCTTTCTGCCTGTTCTTTACATGAAGTGGCAGTTGTCCGCATATCCTTACCTTGACCTGGTAGCTTCCTGCTTGTTCTTAACATGAAGAATCGAAAACGGATGGGCACACACTAAAGAAGCAGATGGCGGACATGCGCTTTCTTTCTGGTTTATAATTCGTAAACGTCTCGCTAGCCACAACTTTTCTACATCGATGGCATCGGAATGTTATGCGGAGGGAGAAAGGGGTATTGCCCTCTTCCCCCCGAGTGGATATAAAAATGCCGGAGGCCGAATGTAATAAACCACGCCCTGCGTCTCTTAAACTGTCAACCCCCCCCCCTTTCCCCTTTTGTTCTGACGCCACGGTTCTGCATCTCTGAAACTTTTATGGCAGGCAAAATTTTGTAACTTGCGCTTAGTAGCCACGGGGACGCAACATTCCCTGGTATTAGGCATCCACCAAATATGTCTCAACTAAAAAAAAAAAAAAGATATTTTTGGAATTACTTTTTGCCGACCACCGGGTTGACAATCCGACTCACGGCACAGAGCGACGACATTAGAACAGGAAAGCTCGCTCTCTGTCCCGTTCTTTTCCGATAAACAGGCGCTCTGATTAGCTCGCGGAAGTCACGTGAGTGTCGGCGGCGCGCTGCGTTGTTGCGTCAGGGGTGTATACATGACGGCAGTCGACGGTCGAGTCACGGAGGTCGGGACCTTTTTCGCATAACCTCAAACCATCACATGTAACTGCATGACGTACCCTCGACCTGGAAACCTATGTTGCGTTTTTTAGACTCCCACGGCGACTAGGGAGAAGGAAGTGACGTCAACAACGCAAAAAACGCAGATTGGATGTTTCTTTTGCGGAAATTCGTCATCAGCGACTCTCACTAAATCAACATTCAATCTGCGTTTGCTGCGTTCTTGACGTCACTTCCTTCTCCATAGTCGCCGTGGGAGTCCAAAAAGCGCAACATAGATTTCCTGGTGCACTTTTGGATTGCCGTCTGACACATGGTATGCAACCGCCAAGGGTATGGGCGAAGAGGCTTAAAAACGGGCGTCGTGCATGAGTTAGTTCCGAGGGCTCTTTTTTACCGTGCTGCAATATCCGAACATCTACGCTTGTCTGGCGACCACTTCGTGGTCGTCTGATGGACAAATGATTTTAAAAAGCACAACAATAGCAGAAAGTGTGACATGAGCACAAGAACCTCCAGCACGATCGTGGCTGCAATGTTATCGAGCTTCACATTTTCCCCAAGAATCCTCACTTATGAAGTCAGTCTATTGCGAGCATGAATCACGAGGGCTTTGTATTAGACTCATCGTCACGTTTTTGCTCAGAACTTCGTCTACGACAAGAGGACCGATTTTAATTCCCGGTGCAGGTGGTCCAATTGGGTTATCACTGCAAGCCCCATGGTATGTGAAGGGTTTGAAAAAATCTGCATGCCGGCCACCACTCAAGATGGGGCTATCAAATGCCAAGAGCTTACCTGCATAGACTACATTAAACTGCTCATATTTACTTCGCTGTGGAAACTCATTCATAACACCCCACCGTCTTCGTCCTCGTTTTTTCGAGGAGGCAAGGTGATGGCCTGTCAGTAGCCAGCTTCATTCAACCGGACAAGCTCCAGCCAAGGTAATGCAGTCCACCATAGGCAAGCCTAGCCAAGTTCCCCCATACCCACACCGTTGCCTACACAGAGAGCTGTGCTGCCAGAACTAGCCGGTATTTCTTTCTCTAAGCCGCTAGACGGCGCCGTCGGCGCCCTGAAAGAAAAGGCCTGTACACGCCGCGCCAAGCCTCGTGGCAAGCGTACAAATTTCCTACGCGGGCGGATACCTAATACCAAATAGACCGATCTCACCAGCCAGTTTGACTACGCCACCGCTGCCGCAATGCATCGAGGGATAGTCTTTTTGCACGTGCGGCAACCTCGCTGGAGCTTTGCGCGTGTGGAGCACGAGACAGCAGGAGCCCTCTCGTGCATTGCCTTTTGCCTCCTGTAAACTAAAGTTCTGGTGGCGCCACGGATGCGCCGAACGTTTGGTGAGTTCGGTCTATTAATTTAGCGACAATGATCCCCAAAGGTATACTAGAAGTACGTTGCAACTCAAGAATGTAGGGCGAGAGTAGGACGGGGGCCGTAGAGGAGGAAGCAGACGGAACGCTAAAGAGAGAAGGAGGTTTCCTCCTCTCTTCTCCGGCGTTCGTGTTTCCTACTCCGTTTTCTTACGTTACGTTACGAAAAGACACCGGGAAATCTGTGACTACCAATTCAAGGAGATAGCCTGACACGCGACATTCGAGACACGAATGTTTCGGTGAGTTAGACGTAACCTAAGAAAACGGTGCTGTGTGAGAAGTTGAACCGAGCTCAACTCCTTACGTTACGTTACGACGAGCCTTGTGTCCTTGGTTGCCACCAACGTTACTATAGTAACGTTGGTTGCCACGATAACTCACCGTCCTGGCTCGTCGTCACCGAAGCATTTGTGTCTTGAATGTTGCATCGCTCTTGCATCGCTAGGCACGCTTAATACGAAGCACAGATTTCCCGGTGACATTTCGTAACGCAACTTAAGAAAACCGGTCTGAGTGAACGAGCCTTTACCCTCGTCTTACCTTGGCTATGTTCCAAATCTTACCCGAAGGGGTATTCACACGAGGGAGAAATCCCCGGGATTTCTCCCTCATGTGAATACCCCTGCTCCTACGTCAGCGGGTAATACCACGTGACATCGCGAGTAAACGATCCGCGACTCGATTTTGGAACGGCTGGGATAATTAACTGGATACTATGCGGATTGGCTTTGTCTTGGGCTACGACAAAAAGAAAACACAGCAGCGATGGCAGAAAATAGCAGACGATCCTTTTGATCACCAAGAAAGCACTCGAAGAGACGATAATATTAAAGGGCAACTCCGCTTCATTTTTGATATTTAGAAAACTATGTAGCCCTCTTCAGTATCATATAGGAAGACCCCATGTCAAATATTACGATCTAATTCCGTTTAGATATTTAATAAACTAGCCAGCAAACCTTCAAGCGAGCCAAGCGGCGCGAGGCGCAATCATCAGCGCAGTCAATGCGACGGAGTTAGAGCGGCCAGCGTTGAACCACTACGTCAGAGGCATGACTACGTCATTCTCACGTTTTGCTTGTTTTTACTTCTCAGAGCGAAATTGAACGATGACGTCATGAGTTTCTCCTCCCGGTGTTGGCTGACCGGGCGTTCACGTGATCACCGTAACACGGATGCGCTAGTTTGCGCTGCCCTGCGCGCTTATCGGTCTGTTTCTCCGCTCCCCTTCTCCTCTTTCGTCTTCTCCCCTTCCCCCTCTCCCCCGGGCCATCACCGTCCACGCCATGCAAAACGACCTGCCCGTGTTCAATAAAAAAAAAAAAAGATTTGCCCACGTCGCGTGTCCTGTTTCTCGCTCCCTCCCGAACGTCACAAGACCACGTGGTTCGACGTGACGTGGGCATGACACTGACGACCCGAGACCAATGTTGCCTGACGCAACCGAAGTTTCGGTTTCGGTATCTGCTGTTAGGATTACACAAATAATATTCCACATTTCGCGAATCCGAAGATGTAGAGTTGTTTAGTAGTGGTTTGTGAATTTGAATCACGTGGAAGCCTAAATTTTTCGGAATTGAGCGGAGTTGCCCGTTAATGACGACGCGAAAAAAGGGTGTAGTCGGGTGCAACGGGCGCACATGCACCCTCTTCTTCAAAGATGCACCCAACGTTGCCCAGCCAGTGTACTTGTACACCGAAAATGAGCATCCTCCTCCTCCCTTAAAAACCTCTAGGTGTATCAGTGCATCCCCACGCTAGCCACGCGCCCCGATCGGCTTGTGCTTAAGGTGCAACCCCACCCCTGGTTAGAGTGATTCTGAACCAACAGATGGCGGTGGGATCGCCTTCCAGGCCTGTACATCAATGAAAAAAAACGTGTGTGGTGGCGCTTCGATACAGCTGGATATTCTTCTATATCCATAATTTGACATCCCTGGTCCCTTGCTTGGTGTTCTCTGCACGAGCTTTCTTTGGAACGCGCACGGCTGCGCCACTTCTCGTGCCAGGGGCCAGTTGCCACACTCCGAGCTCACGTCTCCAGCAAATGTAGGCAGAACAAAACACGAAAATCGTCCTGAGCCAAATGGTGAGACACATGCACAACAAAACTACCGACGCGTTGAAAAATATAAAATTGCCTGTGCGCCGTTATCGGAGATTTCAGAGGCCAATGACCCATATTACAATGTGATCAGATTTATACTGATACGAATGAAGGTGACGAGAGGACGAACAGTGAACTGAAAAATAAAGGTTTAATCGGCGAACTTGTTCCAAACAAAAAGAAAAGTAAACAAAGAGCGTCGAGGCAGCAGAAAAGCAGGCGGCGATTCGCCAGCGTAACAAACAGCGAGAGCGAGACTGACTCGACAAGGTCGCTGGCAGCCAGAGGTCGGAATTTTGGGTCGCCCTCACTCACCCTCACCCTCACAGCCACACTCACCTAAGTCCCTCACTCACCCTCACCCTCACAGCTACACTCACCTTCAGCCCCTCACTCACCCTCATTCTCACAGTCACACTCACCTTCAGCCCTTCACTCACCCTCACTGAACCTCACAGTCCTCACGCACTCACCGCCCTCACGGCCCTCACGCCCCTCACTCACTCATGGCCCTCACGCCACTCACCGCCCTCACGCCACTCACCACCCTCACGGCCCTCACGGCTCTCACGACCCTCACACACGCTCACACATGCATTTTCCTGGTTCAGAAACTCACTCATCCTCACCTCACCTGTGAAGATGAGGGTGAGTGAGGATGAGTGAGGGCCCTCATGAGTGAGGTTTGCCGAGGTA